TTTTGTTGCCAGATAGAAGGGTAAAGAACCAATTATCATATTTTTACTGGCAAATGAGGTTCCCATAGTGTAGATGCTTGCCCCGAGCTCTCATACTCTGATGGTGCATTGTCCTTGAGTTGTGCGCCTTTTGGCGTCATCTGGTCCAACCCATATGAGACTAGGCTCGAAGGAAAGCTGTCTCGGGTGTGGACCAATCAACTTCAAGGACAGTGCACATTATCAGAGTTATGTTCTTTTGTTTGTATTATGACTGCAGGTATTGCGGTCTATGCAAACATGACTCCTTGTAAAAAGGTGTCAGTTTTGTTGCCAGATAGAAGGGTAAAGAACCAATTATCACTGGATGGATTGTTAGATTACAGGACTGTGAGAGATGGTGGCAGCTTGGAGAGGGCTTCATCCAACAGTGGTTTCATCATAGCTGAGTATGATGATGAACGAAGCTTCGAACTCGGCCCGGGACACACCGCACTCTCTAATAACATTTTAAGTGGGTTCAGGGACAACTAAAATATTCATGCAGACTTGTTGAATTTTTACGTGTTTAAAACTCCAGCAATCCGCATGGAATTTTCAGGCAGTTTCAATTAATTTGAGTGTCAACGTCCAGCGATGCAATGATTAATATTGATGCGTAACCTCACAATGCATGTATCAAATCACGTGTGCAAGAGTATGTTTTTAGATGAGTGTATGTTCCAATTTGGATTCATGGCGCTTCTGTATGCATAGCGTTCAAGTGATTCCCTGGCAGCCACTATTTTCTTTTTAAAAGAATAGATGTTTTTTTTTATGGAATCGTGATCATTCATCCTTGCTGTGGTGGGCTATGATATGAGGGTAATTCATCTGAAACATTGCAGTTTAAGTTCAGATAAATATTTTTTGAGCACCTTACGTGTGCAGCTACAAGATAAGAGCTGTTTATTTTTGAGTTTGTGTCCTCATTTAAGGGTGCGTGCGATCACTTAGCATTGTTGTGAACCCTCGCTAACCAACGTAAACAAAATTCCACAGCCTTAGACCGGCATCATTAACTGAAAAGCTCTGAGCGCAGCGAGAAAAACGTGTGAAAAAAAGTAAAACGGGAGCAAAAGAGACAATGAAGTGTAGGGGAAAAGAAAAGACGCAAAAAAAATCTTCAGATGCGACTCATCAGAGATATGAGACGCATTCATTAAAAGGAAAATCGCTGTGCGGGCTGACAGTTCAATTATTAATCAAGTGCCTCAGGCTTAATTTGACATGATATTAATTAAGCGGCATTGGTAACTGCCTTTCCTGTCCCGTTCCCACATTACAGCTCATCATTAACTGCCCATTAGCCGTTCTCTGCCCCCCCCACCGCCAACTCCCCACCAACCCCTGCCCAGACAAAGGAGGGGAGGCGGGCGGTGATGAAGACACAGGCGGGCAGTGGGAGTGCGCGCCTCCTACCACACCATGACAGTCGGCCAGGAAATCATCCATTAGGTCCCGCCAAGCCCCGTAATTTATATATTGCTTATACGTGGATCGCGCGGAGCAACGGTGACAAGGTAATTTATGGCGGGAGCTCAGGTTCCCATGCGAGAGCGCCGGGGTTTTTTTTTTGCTGCCTTCCGCTCCGACGGGCACAGCCGGTCCGATAATGACGGCGGCAAGCACTGCTCGGCTGTGCGCTCGTTCGCTCGCTGAAGCACTCAGTCAGTCATTTAGGGAGCCACTCACTCGCGCAATCACTCAGTCATATGCTGAGCCACACACTCACACACTGGACGAATCGCTCAGTCGTTTAGTTGAGCCGTGCACTCGCTAACTCATCCACGCATCTACTGAGCCATTCGGTCATTCAGAGGACCACTCATTTATTCAACTACTCATTCGCCCAGAAACTCACTCGCTGAAGCCCGACGCTATTTAATTTGACGTGTGGTTTTGAAAGTGGAAAAACATTCGTACATGGTGTAAAGTGTGATACTTTGTACCATACCTATTAAAGTCACGTATGTCAGTGTGTATGGAATGGTGGCACAACAGTTAGTGCGCTATGCTCCGAACCGGGACACCCGAGGTCACGGCCAATACCAGTGATGATTATCTGAACCCCTCCTGGGCCTCCCTTAGGTCGAATCAGCCTCAAATGAGTACCTGGTGCAGTGCGTAAACATCGCGACTGGGGAAACAAAGGCGGCCGGGCGTGGTGCCGGCCACCCATCCCCTCATCTACCGTGCCAGCCTTCATAGGTACTACTCGCATACAGCACTTGCCCCAACAGTCTGTTAAGTCTATAGCGGGGGATATTTGTTTTGTGGGTTTGTGCGTGAGGCTGTGTGTATGCACTGGTCTGTATGTTTGTGTGTAGCTGTGTATGTGAGTTTTTATGTATCTATGCAAGTATGTGTATGAGTGTGTATGTGTGAAAATGTACATATGCAGTAGTGATGGCTAAACCAAACCCCTCATGTGCCATACGGTCTTAATAGGGTAGAGCTGTAGTGTAGAGGTCAGCGCACTTTGTTTGCCTGCGTATATCTGTATATATGTCTGTGTATCTGTGCAAGTGTGCCGTGTTAGCCTTCATAGGTGGTCGCAAACAGCACTTGCCCCATAGTCTGTATGGCTATAAGGGGATCTTTATCTTTATCCCTCCACCTGTCCATCTGTTTATTTTATCATTCTCACGTTGTCTGTGGATCCTTGTTATATTGGCCACCTACTCTATCCCATCCACCTGTGAACATAGATAAGGGCACTTTCATCATCAATCCTTTGCACTTCGCGTTTGCTGACCTGGCCTCCATAAGGCAGACTTCAAAGGCGGCAGAATATAGCCTTACAATAAAGCCGGGACGCATAGCCCGATACGACAGGGGCTGTGTGGGGAGAGGTGGCTGCTACTTTATGTGAACCGGCACTTAAATCGTTCACAGCCTTTAAGTCCTCCATCGACACAATAACAGATTAGGGCTTCGATCGACAAGGCAGGCATTAAAGATTACAGCTCCCTACACCCACTCCGTTCACACACTCCCTTCGTCTGTCCATGTCTTTACCATCGTCTTAGTCTTTGTCATCGCGATCATGATCATTATCATAATTGTCTTCGTCACGTTCTTAAGCGTCATTGAATCAACATCATCGAACGATCATCATTAGTTGTCATGAATCATCCTCAATCCGTCTCTACTTTATGATCATTACTAACATCACGCTCTCTATCCTGCTCATTATGGAATAAATTCGTCATCATCATCAAAGTTTATCAATGTCGTTCACTCATCATCATCCAACCTGAATTAACATTCTTATCACCATATAACTTAATCTTTATTGTCATTCCTTACATCGCCACCAATTACTCCATCATTATTGCTCGATCATCATCATCCTTCACAGTGCCACCTCACCACCCCACTGCCCACACTAAACCCTCCACCAATCCTCTGCCCCCCCCTCACTCTATATCCCCCCACAAAGCAAGTCTTTTGTCCTGACCCGCACTGCGCCCCCACACGTCTCCCCGCTGCTCTAGAGGGTGTACATCTGGACGGATTAGTGCTTCTGTCGTTCACACAATGCGTCGGGAGCGGTACGGCTTGGCACGCAGGAGTGTATGATGTAATAGGCATTGGGCGCTTTAGAGGGGGGGTGCCGGTGGTGGCAGGAGGGGAGTATTTTGGGGATGGTTGGATGGTGGGGTGGGGGGGTTCCTAAATTAAAATGTCCTCATTGCGAGGTGAAATGCACATTTCTTCCAAGCAACCCTCCCGGGACTCTACCGACGCGTTGCCGCACGGAAAGGCGGTGGGAATGGGTGGCAAAAAAAATTCAACACGCGCGCACATACACACATACACGCGCACGTACGCATGGACGCAACAGCACTGCGAGAATTAGACGTGCTGTCTTTTCCTGTCCCAGGCACTGAGTAAATAAAGCAAATTAATGCATGAATCAAATTACGCGCGATTAACATTCACTCGGCTAAATCAGAATCGGATTATGTATAATGACGCTAATACGGTACATGTTTAAAATCGTGTATATGTGAACAGAAATAATACGGAATTATCTCGCAGAAATTGTTTTTTTTATTGCACAATGAGGAACATGAAAGGGTTAAGGGTTATTGCAGCGTGCGGCTTGGAGTTTTGAGTGAAGTGTTGCCCCCCTCCCCCCAACTCCCCCCCTCCACCACCACTCAACCCTTCATCCCATCTCCCCTCCCCCGCACCAACTACCCCAACCCCTCCCCTCCCCTGCCCCCCCAGAGGAGAGGGATGTTGTCTAACACAAGAGCTTAAGCACACTCAGCACCCTGACCCCCAGGCTTACTTGCAGACGTCGCCTATTAATAGCTGGGCCAATAATAATGGCTTTGTAATAATAATCATCACCAAATCCTGCCCCTGGCTCCCACACGGCTCCCGCCCCCATTCACCTTGTTGAGCGGATTATAATTTCACAAGATAAGGGGGTCAGGGGAAAACAGGGGTGAACATAAATATTAATAATAAGTAATGGTAATAATAACGTTCAGACATATGTCAGTCTGCTTTTATGTGTTCATTGACGTTATCTGACCATATTTCACCGCGTTCGTCATTGTGGGTAGGTGAAGTGGGTGGGCCCAGGGCCGGTGAAGGTATCACTCGCCTCTGATGTTCGCCGTGGCCAGGAATCAAACTCAGGTTCGCTAGTTTCATGGCGCAGTGAGCTAACCATTGTGCAACCGCTTCACAATGCCACCTGCAAAGCTTCATTGAGTCTGACGACTCTTTTTCAGGAGGGTCCTGCATCATGATGTTAGCCTCAATTCCCTTGAAAATAACGACTGCTTTGCTTCATATGGGAGGAAACCAGAGCACCCAGAGAAAACTCACCATGCACACGAAAGAATAACAGGTGATGATGAATGATGACGATAACGATGACAATAACAATATAATAACAACAACAATGATGATGAATCTGCATGCAAGTGACAATGTGCGTATGAGGTGATGAGTCTGACCCGTGAGCGAGTGGATGAGCTGCACGATGACCTCCTTGTAGATGCGAACGATGCTGTGCAGCAGCTGCTGCACGTCTGACTGGTTGTCAATGGTGCAGCAGATTTTCTTCACGGTGTTCGCCAGCCAGGCCATCTTGTAGCCGTCCTTCTCACATACCTGCGCCACACACACCAGCAGGGACTGGCTCGCCCTCACATATATTGGAAGTTGCATCATCATTCATTGATCAATTCACTGCTAAATGAAGGTCTTTCCAAGCCGTCGCCGTTTACAACAAACTTGCCAATTAAAATCCCTCGAGGGCATGTACATGAACTGATTTCACCACCTCATCCCTGCACTGCAAAATCTCTCATCCATGCTCCTTCATTTACCTGCGACTCTGCAGTTAGTCTCGACCAGCGGCCATCATCCCTTCTAACTACATGTCCTGCCCAAGCTCACTTTTTTTAGCAGTCAATATTTCAATATAACTTGCGTATGTTCTCTAATCATACATACAGGGGCCACTGTTGTCTCTGTGTAATTCCAAGGATGCATCCCACCATGCCCCTTTGCACACTCTTCAGCTTTTTCTCCATTTATTTTGAATGAACGAGCTAAAGCCCGGTTACCTACCTACCCGTGTGCCCACCTGCCCGCCCACGCCCGGTGGCCTCCGCGCGACTCACGACTGACATGAAGACGACGAGGTTGGCGAGCTGTGGGAAGTGTCGGTTCACGGCTCTGCTGCTCAGCATCATGGTGCAGACCCTCTCCCCGCACAGAATGAGGAATCGGGCAAAATTCTCCGCGTTCCATTTGTTTGGTAACACTGCATAGGCGTGGGAGAGAGGGTGGGTGGGGGAATACCGGTGGCTAGAGACTGCTGGCGACGTCGGCTGAAGTCGTTTTCGATGACGTCAATGACCGTCGCCTTGCGTGACCTCTACGTTCAAACGAACTCCCGACCTCGACCAGCCACTCAGGCAACGTCAGGACTGCTCTTCGTCATAAAAGTGGTTGGCGTCGGCTTAAGTCCAAGGCCTACTATCATCTAATTTTCTTACTCGGTCATTTGCCCCTGACCCAGCCGAAGATACATGGGCAGTATGGCTGTACAGCCGAATTTGTAGTACCGCAAGTACAATAATCAATGGCAGGTTGTGGCTAATAAAAACAACAAGGAAACAGTCAAGGGTTTGTTCATGACCAAAAAAAATATATGATTTTGATCCAGCAGCAAGTAGAATCAATGAAGGCCTTAAATGTTATTTAAAATTAAATAGGTCATGTCTATTTTATATCCATCCTAAATGGATTGTGGTACACATTGCACGATGGATTCAGCTATCTTTTATACGATTGGAAAATTTTGAAACTGCGGTCATCAATCTCACACCGAGGACCACAGAGAAATACTACCGGCTGCTTCGATTATTTTCCATCAGCATTTCAAATATTCACCAGGCTACTGAAAAAGCCATCCACTGGCTCACTCACCGACCTTGACATTAACATATATCAATTCAACACCATACAAAATATGATTGTGGTACAGCACATAGGCTGTTGCCCCAGCTGCACAGATTTCTGAGTGTTATCCAATATGTATGTCGTTTTCTCGGGGTACTCAGGTTTCCTCCCAAGTAAAAAAACACACAGGACTTTAATGGAATTGACCAAACATCCCAAAACAAGGACCCTCCTGAAGAAGAGACTTGACGCTCAGTGTGGCTTTGGTGTACAAATAAAGCACGAGCACAAAAAACACCGTCGCCACCGTCACAGACCCATCGCACGGAACACTTAGCGGAGCCGCACGTCCCAACATCGCTATCCATAATCCGTGCTCCTAATCCCTACCCCTAACCCTTAACCCTTAACCCCAGAGTAAACCACTAGCCCTGACTCCTACTAATCCCCACGCCAGTGAGCCAGCCAGCGCGTGACCCACGACCCCACCGCCAATCCTCGTCGTCGACCTGCACCACCCAGCGGGGGGCAAATGGGGAAGTTGCCCCCTGCCAACATTTTCAGATAGCCTTTGTATATACTTGACCATATACGAAATATTCATGTGTCTATAATGAGAAATACATAATTAATGTCTGTTGATGTATATTTACATTTAGATACGTTAAATATTACACGATGAAAACCTTAATTTAGACACGATATGTTTTGTTTCCTGAAGTAGTTTTCCCATTTGTGCTGTACGTCTCTGGGATGTTTTTGGATTGTACCGCGTGTCATTTCGCACGCTTTCCGACATTTCACCACACGTGTAGGGAGCTTTTCCAGTTTCTCAAGCTCCTGAAGAAGCTCCGAGCACGTGGAACAAAACATCGGACGTCCGGCCATACAACACGCGGTGCAAAACGAAGACATCGGAGAGTGATTAGCCCCCCACCCCTACGAGACATTCGGCAGGGTGTGTCAAGTGCCGCCGATACCGGAAATCTCTCCGATGATGCTCATGACGTCAGAATCGTTCCAGTTGGTAGCGTTGGAGGCCCCCAGGTTTCGAACGACGGAGCCGAGGTCGCGCAGAGAAGTGTCGCGCGCGGGATTCTTCACCAGCGTACGCTCCCACAGCACACGACCTGCATCGCATTAAAGTGGGCGCGTGTGTTTGTGTGGGCGTGTGTGTGTGCGCATGTGAACATGCGTGCATTATATGCGTACGAGTGTGTGTGTGCGCAGCAACAACGAGTGCAGTGGGTGCTGTGGTATCACAAAAGATGAAACAATTTCTTTCTTTTTTTCCCACAATTATATTCCAATTATGTGATCAGGGTGCACCGGTGCAGTGGTTAGTGCACTGCACTGTCACGACTGACACGGTGTGGGCAGGCTTTCTACCAGTCGTGGATTGACAAAGAGGCTGCAATTCGGAAGTGTGCTATTGGTATGATATCATGAGAAAATAAATGTCTATTTTGAGCTCTGCAGCCAGCAGTGCATCACCCTGTGTTCGGGACCAATACAAAACGATATGGTAATCATGATCCCGGATCGTGATAATTTATTGAACCGCTGGGCGTGGACTGAATTGTGATCCGAGTACATACCTTCGTGTTCGCAGTAGGGCCCGTATATCACGAAGAGCAGACGCGCCTGGCTGACTAGTGGCCAAGGCTTCAGGATCTGGCCCAGCCAGAAGAGACGCTCGGAGTGAAACAGGCACGGGTCCAGCAGCACCCGCCGGCATACGCACTTCACCTCCATCTCAAGCTGCTTTGCTTTCCCTGCGTACAAAACAAACCAAAGTCGGGGGAGATGCGTTTTCAGAATCTTTTGTTCTGAATTATAATCTTTATTCACTGGAATAATCCGATGAGCTATGAAGCTGTTTTTCACAGATGTCCAGGAGGGGCTGGTCAGCAACTTACAATAAATAAAACACATTTATCGGAGCCGGGTTTCCCAAAACTGCAGTTCCCATAGCCCACAATGGTACAGATTTCTACGCTTGCCAATGTAATCCATTAAAGATTATGCTTACCGTCTTCACCAACTTGGCCTCGACTACCTTTCCCCTCTCATCTCGCTCTACTCCCCTCCAGAATTCTCCTACCACCCTCCTCTCATTTCACGCCTCCCTTCCAAATACGCCAATCTCTCCCCTCCCATCTCACCCACTCTTTCTGGTGCAGACGCTGCACTTTGTGAGAAAAGGCATTAATGGGTAATTTTCGTACTCAGTACAGTGATGGCCCAAATAATTCCATCTCTATGGGATGACAATGATATTAATAATGTTGTCATTTATTCGTGTAAAATTTTCAGGAGTTTCTTGCATTGGGATGTTTGGCCAATTCCTTCTAGAGGTGTATTTGCCAGCAAGAAGAAACTGGAGTACCCAGAATAAACCCACGAAATGACGAGACACAACTCAAAGATCGTAGAGGTTTTAAGAACCTATTTACTGCACTGGCATTTCCTGTACAGCCAGCTCACAACCCAATAGATTTGTCAATTTTGCTCATCTCTACGTAATCCACCAAACCCTCGCCTCAGAAGCGTGAGCTTACAGGCGTGCACCCCATCATAGTCAGCTAATAACTTACATTTATAAGGCGCAATTCCTCCAAGGATCTCAGTGCGCTGGATAAGGTCCCCATCCCTCATAATATCCCACAATACAATAGTCTATCTAGAATATGCATAGGGGCTGATGTAATTGCTACATCTCCTTTGTAGATGTCCTCTCGAACACATTCTATTAATTGGCTGCCGCTCCATCATTATGCTTAACCATTTGGCCGTTGTCCCTTCTAGCTTCAAGTTCGAGAAGGTTTGATTTACCCGACAGTCTGTGCGTTCTACATCGTGCACCACAGCAGCCGACAAAAAATTAGGCTTTTGTATACCGTCATCGGGACAGCACTCGTCAATTTCCTAGGCCAGGTTTGGCCAAATGATGTAGATGTAGGCCAGATGTAAACTGCCATCTCCACCTGGCAGTCCCAACGTGGAAAACCCATCACAGATCACTTCACACGCTCGCTCTTCCGCGTCTCAAAATTGGCCCCGGTTTTCCCGGGGGACTATAAATTTTGGCAGACAAGTCACTCTGCCACAAGAATGCTGCTGCTGAGAGATAGGCCGGCCCTCAACGCTGATTGTTTTTCTCTTTAGTCAGCAGCCAAGCTTTAGTTAACCGAGCCCATTGGGAGCACCGGGTGTTGATTATAATAATTGGGAATAAAGGAAATGTCGCCAGTAAACAAAGAAGATGCACAGGGAGTGGCAGCTTAATGCAAGAGACTTCGTGTCTTTCGGTCACAGCAATGTCACGTTGGTCAAAGTGCCAACAACTTTTGTTCCATTTCCCACGTCTCCATGAAGAGGTCACTGGACTGACACAGCATTGATTATCACACGAGACCTGCTGTTTAAAATTCACTTCATACGCTTACACGTACTTGTGCGGGTATGTATTTAATGTAATATGCAAATTTCCATATGGCAAGCTAAATTGTTTATGATGTCTAGAGCATATAAATATAAAATCATACGTGGAATTTTTCCCCCTGCTTAAAATGTATTATTTTTACATGTGTATTAATGGCAAAGCTGTAAACATCTTGACATCTGATGTGGTTCTAAAATGCTTAATATACTTCAACACTTCCTGCAGATTAACAGACAAGCCTTTTACATCTTCACACCTCTACTCCTACCAGATGTTGTCAAAACTGCAATGTCATTAAATTAGGCAATCACTCTGCGTGTCGAGACAGATAGTAATTGCTTTGGCACTAATTAAAATTCCTCTTTGCATTATGTGTTACATTTGTGAGCCGACAGGCTGTGAAATAAGCTCAATATCTTCAGGCATATTAACCTTTCTTTGTGCGCCTCTGCGCACGGGTCGGGCATACATATATAGTATTTGTAATCACGATTTTGTCTCCTTTTAGATAAACACCGCATGCTAATGAATTATAGACGTCCAAAATGCTTTCTCGCATTTAGCGCTTATCGATGCATTGCAAGTTTCTTTTATTGATTTATGATATAGTGGAGTGATTTAGGAACTCTACGTGAGCTTTTGCATGTTTAACATTCGACCAGTGGCATAGTTATACATTGTACAGGCAGAGCAAATGCACTTGGAACCATGAATCAGTATGAGAATCAGAATCTTTATTTAGACTGGAGGAATCCGATAAGCTATGAATGTCTTTTCACAAATGTCCAGTACAAAAAAGATAAATAATAAAAGGCAAGCAAGTCACTAAAATAAATAGATGCATATACGGTCAAGTTCTTCATTTACAATTATATATACTTACATTTAAAATGAAAATTTGTTCATCAGTAAAACGTCTTGAGGTGTCATAAATATTAAAATGTAATCAGTAAAGGTGCAGCCTTGCAATTGCTTGTTCATGCGACTGCTGGCAGAAGGATCACTACAAGGAGCTCTCGAGCCCCTTTGGAAGGTATTTGGCCAACTCTTTAACGTTGGCCAGACGTCTTGGAAGAGGCGAGAGGACCCACACTTTACCCCACCACACGCGATATGCCGATCAACTAACTGTGGTGCACCCATTTATACTGTCCGCTGGGTGGGTAAAACCAATCGAACCGGTGACCTCTGGATTACAAATCCAGTGTGCTAACTGTGGCCTATTATCCGGTATCTTATTTTATATGTATAGCATACCTTAGCTGAACATCTTTTCACCAATACAACTTTCTGAGATATCTCACGATATAAAAACAAAATGCTTTCTATATCGAAAATGATCTCCGCTCACCTGGTTGAAAGCTTAATATTGCTTTCATCTTGTAGTCTAGATGCATCCTGTCGCTGACGTATTTGAATACTCTGTGACACTCCATCTCCTCCCAGCCAGCTATCAAGGTCTGCAAAATTACACGCACGCGTTCACAGGCACTGAATCCCACCTGCCTCGTTATTATCAGCTTCAGGTCGACTATTTGTAGTCAGGTAGGGAATTAAAAATAACTGTTCATTCTTGTGAGGCACTCGGAGAGAAATATTCATTGTTACAAATATCTACAGTTCAGTCACGCGCTGTTAAACCTCTGACCAAATCATCTGGGATATGCCAAATCCCATCCTCTCTCGGAAGCTAAGCAGGTTTTGTGCCTGCATAGTGTGTTAGTAGATGGGTGATCACCATACATAACAGGTGTGATAGGCCGTGGGACTACATGGTGGGTAATGCAGGACAGTAAAGCAAATTCTGTTGTGCTGTAAGTCTATGCTCTCCCCACCACCAATCCGCTGTGACCGGCAGGGTGAAATTTGGTAAATTAACCTCCACGACCCGAACGATGTGGGGAAGCCCTCATCCAGAGATGCATGTGATGTGCCATAAATAGATGCATGTGACATGCCAGAACAATTCTGGACTATTTCTGGTCGGAATTAAGCACTGGCAATACACAAACAGATTCAAGGCAAAGATCCCCCGTGTATTTTTCTTCATTTTGGAGGGTAACAAACGCCCCACACATTCACAAGAATGGCACTCAAAAGTGTACTACGCGTGCAGATTAACAATTCCTCTTGCTGTACTGCCATATCCTGGCCACTTGTAATAGCGGGCTGACAAAGGGTTGTACATGTCTAAAATATTTTTGTCCGTGCCAAAATGGCAATGTCAAAGGACGCGATTGAAAATAAGCGTAATGTTAAAAAAAAATCAGTGTTTAACATGTATTCCATTACCTGCAGGAGTTTCCCGAAACGAACAAATCCCGAGCATGTCAAGGAATTTGCACATTCACCATATTTAAAGCAACGAATCTGAAGACACAAGCAAACACCGTTACATCACATTGAAGTAAAGACGTATATTAACGAATTAGTGCATACCAAAAAGTGGTCCATGTTCAGCTGACTTTGGTCACTGGTGATAGTTCAATCGACAAATGGTCAATGATTAAATAAAATACTAATGGTTTCGTGGTACTTCGATGGCAGTGGTGCACATTAAAAAAACTCAACGCGTCCGTCAATAACACTGTCCGAATGAGGGAAGAGATATATATAATCGGCAACGTTTAGAGAAATGGTCCTTCTTTTTAGCAATAATGAAAAAGAATGATAACTGTGTAAATATTGTAACAGTTACTCTGTATCTTCTAACACCATAAAACAAGTTGATAGGATTTCCTGCAAAATTGAGTACCAATGCACTGCTTGTCTCCCGTTGACAGCTCTAAGGCAGTGGTAGAAATTCCACATTTCTATGGTGGGGGTGAGGCTATCCATAGGTCAACCACTGTTGACAAAGTGACACTCATTTTATCAGCTCTGGAGAGATGATTGGCTAAGTCAAGCTCCAACCAGGATTTTAACTCACAATCTTCTGATTTTGAGCCGATCGCTCTACTGCTCAGCCACCTGGCCAGATCTGTAACACTATGGGGTACACTTACATTAATACATGACAGAGTCCTATGTTTAGTGTTAACATTTCCTTAACATAGGTCGCGATTAAAATTCATGTAGCCACAATTTTCCCTTACAGTCTTCCACGATTATTTATACCTGCTTGGGTGAATTTTGTACCATGCAAGTGAAATTGTGCAGGATCTTGAGCCTCTCCTTTGTCGGCTTTAAGAGCGTTGCACGCTTCAGCAGCATTCCTGCGCCACAGATGGTAGAATCACACGAGACACTTGGCGATTTGCCCCCTCCAAAGTGATTTCATAAAACGTCATGATACAGGGTCACACAAGGATGAAAGAATATATATTTTATCTTGTTTTTAGCTTCTCGTTTGTATCGTTTCTCGTTTTGACCTAATTACCCGGAATGGGACCAGTCTCCTCAGATCTCGTAAGCAAAGTAGTTGGATGGGAGTCCACCTGGGAATGCCAATGTGATGCAGGCTTGGGTTGCAAAGTGGCCAGAAGATGGTTGGTACATGAATATACTGCTGAATCTATATTGTGCGAAGCATTCTGTGTTACCGTCTCATATGCTTGATAGTTTTTTCTCCTGTTACTCTCGTTTCCTCCCACAAGAAGCCAAAACACTCATGAATGGAATTGCCCAAACATACCAATGCAGGACTCTCCTGAAAAAGAGTCTTGAGACTCATTTTTGCTTTTATGCATGTATGTACATAATTATATTTTTGTTATACACATTTGCATCAGTTGGTTTATAAATAAAAATGTGTATTTTATCTAAGCATTGTGGGAGATAAGACGTTCAGGGCTTACCAAAGATTTGTTCTGAAATTAGAAGATCTACTCTCTGTAGTAATTTTCAGAATAGCACATGTCATATACAACGACACCTTCCATAAACCCACTTTCGGTTGCAGCCCAATGATCAGTGACTGAGTGCTGCCACTCACAGGATGGAGTGTGAATGGGTTCCTAGGTAGTTAATAATTCAAGTGAGTAACACTTAGTTTATATGTTTTAATCACCTACATTAAATTAAGATAAACTGATAGCAAGTGAAATAAACTGGTAACGGAAAATGGCTGAAAGTGACAACAGGAGAAATAAATAATCATGAAACATCACACGCATATTTTCCCAGCCATTCGTAATCAACGTGTGGTCTTTTGGGTTAAGCTGTGTGTTGAGAATTGATTCTACTGAGGGCATCCCCAAGAGTTGTGCGTGGCATTAGTTTGAGGGCAGAATAAACGCTCAACAACGTGGCATAACCCAGAAGAAAACACTTGCAATAATGTAATAACAAAATAGACATACATCATCCTTGGCAAAGCTCACCCAACGTCCTGTCGTGATCAAATACTTTTACTGAGCTACTTGGCTCAGTCCCCAAGTGGAACATGTCGAAGAGTAGCCTGTTGCACGTGGACGGTATGACCATGTATTCCAGGATCTCTTGGCACATGTCGCGAGACACCAAACACAGCAAGCTCAGTTGTGTTGCTGCATAGAGGCAAATATAGGGAAACTAATTACGGGGGCTTACATTTGCAACATTTTACATGCACAGTGAAGCTCTTGTTATTCGATTTCATGTGGGGACTGCAAAGGAGGTACCCGGTAATCCACATTTATAAGCACAAATGACTCCTTTTATCTGTGGACTATGAGGTGAACCACTGTTGGTCTGCACTCCTTCAGCAAAAGGATGGCAAAACTACACGAACTCTCTCATTCGTGTTTAGCTCCTGGACCTTTTGCCATTTGCGAGAGTGCAAATCCTTATATCCACATGGGAATATTTGGATAAACACAAATAAAATAATGAATTCTTCTGAGTCACCTCTGTTATCCATATACATGCTTGGATAATATGACTGTAGTTTAACAAGTAGGCATTCACGACCAATATCATCAATATAATAACTGTATTATGGAGATGAATGTAGCCATCAATTCAAAGCGACTTTACCAATGAGATGAAGCTGCCACGACACGACACATTTACAGCCCTTAGTGAATCCATTGCTGGATGAGGGCCTCCCCATGCCGTGTTGGCCATGAGGGTTATTTGACCTTACTTTACGACACTGGTCAGTGTGGGTCAATGACGACAGAGGTCACAGACACGAGAACATAGAATCACAGTACAACAAAGTATTGTACTGCACTGCTTCGCATGTAGCCTCGCAGCAGTCTACGACGCCTGGTTTTAAAGATAGTGGCCACCCATCCAAGAACTATCCAGGCTTAAAAACCTGCTTAGCTTGCGGGTGCATTCCACGTGGTTTGGTCATAGGCAAGGCTTGGACATTTTTTAATGCTTTTGGAAGATCAGTTCAAGGTGACCCTTACCTGCAGATAATAGGAAGAAATTTGATCGTGCGGTGACAAATGAAGAGGATATCACAGTTTACCTTCTAGGTAGCTGAAGACTTTGTGCAGCATTTCTGTGGGTAGAATGCACAGGGTACCAATGGGGCCGAATTGTGGGCCAAGATTAGCTTCAGCCAGGGCATTTCTCTTTTCCTGCAACCGGCTACTGCTCCGGCTCTTTCTGCAGTCTCCGTTCAGCGCACAGCTCACCTTGTTCACCGCCTGTTGAAAAGCGTAGCACACGAAAACAGAAACACATCGGCGTCTTGTAAGTTTTTACACCATTGGAACCTCATTTGCCAGTAGAAAAATATGATAATTGTTTTTTTACCCTTTTATCTGGCAACAAAACTGACACCTTTTTTACAAGGAGTCATGTTTGCATAGACCACAATACCTGCAGTCGTAATGCAAACAAAAAACATAACTCTGATAATGTATGCACTGTCCTTGAAGTTGATTGGTCCACACCCGAGACAGCTTTCCTTAGAGCCTAGTCTCACATGGTGTTGGACCAGATGACGCCAAAAGGCGCACAACTCAAAGACAATGTACCATCAGAGTATGAGAGCTCGGGGTAAGCATTTACACCATTGGAACCTTATTTGCCAGTAGAAAAATATGATAATTGTTTTTTTAGCCTTTTATCTGGCAATAAAACTGACACATTTTTTACAAGGAGTCATGTTTGCATATCATGTCTTGGTAAGTTATTGACATCATCGGCAGCAAATTGTCGTCAATCCACTGCCGCGTGCCACTATCATCACTCGCGAGCCCGCGTTGCGACAACCTATGTTGCTCCTGCACATGAACTGAAATCATAACTCCATCTCCGTGATGGTCACCCCCATTGTCAGCTCAGATGCCTCATGGCAAGGCCTGTATGTATACGAAAAGGAGTGAAATTGGTCTGTCACGTTTTCTCCTTTGACTGCCATTCTGTTGCCAGTCTCATCCATCGGTTGACTTCCCTTCTTGGCAACGTGTCCTGCCCAATTCCACTGATTCTCCTTGAACAGTAAATATCTCTGATCAATGTGTTCTCATTTCTGACTCTCAGTGTCGTTCAAAGTATCTCTGCATATCCCTTTGCACGCTTTTAAGCGCCTTTAAAATGCTCTGTATTAGTTTCAACTTTCTGTTCAGTCATGCTCACTCGATACAAACGACCAAGACAAACAATTGTTGAATTGCAAATAATCTTTGCTCACAATAGGAACGGCTTAGTTGGCAAAATTTACCTCAATTATGCAACATATTGAAATAGGGGGAAACAAAGGTCAAAAGGTCATCACGGTCATGCCAGATCCAGCAAATGTGACGTACGGTGCGAAAGGAAGTTCAACATACGGTATAATTGTTCCTGCCAAGTGGTATTTAATAGAGTACAACAATTAATACAATAATGCCCTCATAGATGAGGGAAGGTGAGGGAAAGGGAGCACTGACAAAATCTATAACTTATACTTCAGTATTATTGTCATAAAATGCAGCCGCTTTTTGTGTTATTTAGGATAACGGGATGGAAAAACAATCTTTGAGATAATTTACTAAAATTGCGATAAAGTTTTACTGTTTACTGTGGCTAAGAATGCAATTAAATCACTGCTTCATTATTCATTCGTCACCCTGAACGGTGAAACTTTGTTTTTTTATCTCATAAAGACCGGAGCTAATAATAACTTAAAACGCAACAACAAAAAACCTCAAATTCATCTAATTTCAAACTATTTTGCAACGTTCAGGAAAATAGCATCAGCTAGTTCTACTGCATTCACAGTACCGCAATGTGTTACATGTGCATAATTTCCCTTAAGATATTGTACACAGCTGTGCTGAAGTGATGCAGTTAACGTAGGTTGTAAATGTCAGGAAAAGATGACATTTTAAAGAAAATGTAATTAAATGAATGACTGAGTTACGTTTGTCCGCTTGACGCCCTCCATCGCTTTAAATGCCCGCGCGTCACCGCGAAATTTGGCGGGAAACGCGAACCCAGAGCCCCCCCCCCACCACCCAGACCACATTATTATGATAATGTTCTAATATGGGTTTTTATGATAATGTTCTAATAGGGGTTTTTATGATAATGTTCTAATAAGGGTTTTCCCATTTTTTCTGGCAACAAAACTGACACCTTTTGCAAGGAATCATGCTTACATTAACCACAATACTTGCAGTCAAATGCAAACAAAAAAATGATGTAGGAGGTCCCATGATGTATGATAATGTTATTTAATGTTATAATCTGTAACCTGTAACGTATAAAATAGTTTATGTATTGCTAAATTCAGAATAAGGGGAGAGTAAATGCTTAAAGTGCACTGCAGTGTTTGTGCTGAAGGGGGAACTCTTCTGGACTTTACAAATAAAGGCAGTTACCACGTCTCTTGCAAGAAGTAAACTTGAATAACATAAGGCACATCATTAAAGATTAAAGACGATATAATGTAAGGTGTAAGCAAGGTGAATGGGTAAAAATTGATGAGGGATGTTTATTTAGATTTATGAGCGAAGTGTCAGCTAGAATGCATTGCTGATGAGGGCATCTCAACTTAAAATCCATTCTGAAAAGTGTCAAATAAAGAACATTCTTGCTTGTGATTATGAGAGAAATGTCAATTAAATATCATCATAACCATCATCATGAGGTAAACAATTAATCTCCAGTGAATGCCATCATATTCGAGAATTTTTGGTAAAAGTCCACCGTTTATAATCGTGTTAGAGCCAATGTTTAATATTTGACAAACATCTCAAGGGAATTGCAATTGAACTCAATTATTGACCCCCCCCCGCTACCGCCCCCCCCTCCCTCCCTCATCTGCCACGTTGGCGGGAAAACGCGTCTCGACCAACCGGCGCAAGGCACGCGCTGCCGCCCGCTCATTGGTCAGCTGGACCCCCCCCCTCTTTTCTCGCGGGGGGCGCCCGCGTGACCAATGCCGACCAATCAAGTCGCGCCGTCTGGGTCGGAAACCGCCACGTGGCGGGGGGGGCTCTCCCCAATCGGAAGCGGCGCGCGCCCCGCCCCCGAACCTCCTTCGCGGAGCCCGCAGCGTCCAATCAGGAGGCGCGGCTCTGTCGCTCGGGGCGACGGCACCGCGAGCTTCGCGTCGTGTGATTGGCGGGTGAGGGGAGGGTGAGGGGCGGGGCGGGGTGGGGTTGAGGTAACGGGCGGGCGCTGTAGCGGCTCCCATCACCAGCAGCAGCACCAGCAGCACCTCCATCAGCAGCGGCTGCTTCGTCTTCACTATATTCGCGTAAGATTCAATTCGCGCTTCAACTTTCCAGCGTCGTCGTTGTTGTTGTTGCTGCGGACCTGGATGAGTTGTTGTTGGATGTAATGCCTGCATCTTGTGTGTGTGTCTGTCTGTGTTCGGTGACCTCTGACCTCCGACACCGGTATCTCGTCTTAAATGTAACGAGTCTTGTCTGGTTTGGTCGATGTTTTTTCTTTTTTACAAACAAATCTGGCCAACGCGGCGTTAGTCTCTTTGTTGTTAGTCTCGCTGGCTGGCCGACTTGGTTGAGTGTTTTTTTGCGGGAGTCGCGACACGCACGCATCGGGAGATGCCGCGGGCGCTTGCCGGGCACTGGCCTGGTAATGGCGATAAGAAGGAGCGGCGTTTCAGGATTTTGTTGTTGTTGGATGTTAACGACGGGGTCTGGGGGTCAGCAGTTGTGGCTCTATTGGGTCAGAGGTTAGAGATAATTGGGGTTATTTGTCGAGTGTTTTGAAACAAATGTCAGGTCATGGGGGGTTGGGTTATAAAGGGTTTGATCAGCGATACGGGTTATGTTAGGTGTTATAAGGGCATGGGTTGTGGTTTAATAGGTCAGGGATGGGGGGTAAGTGATTTGAGAGGTAGGAGTACATTCCATTGCAAAGGCTTCGTTGGTTTGTGGTTTGACCGTTTGGTACTCAAAGTTGTAAATCACATGTTTTTGGGATTGACTGCGTTTCGGGTTAACAGAGTTTAAATCTAAGTCAAACAGTCAAAACATAATGGCCAATGCCATTGATTCCAAGACCCATCACATTATCGCCACCTATCTCCAAACTCTATAACTAAAACTTTTTTTATTCTACCAGGTAAGGCCCACTGAGCTATGTAACTCTTTTTTCAGAAGCGACCTGGCCACAAATGATAGCTCAACGAAGTGGCTTATCATCATATGGAAATTCATCGCAGCCAAATATTCTAAAACGTATGTCGATTAAAAATGTGGGTGGGGGGGGGGGATCGGAGGGCGTGACCACAGCGAGAACACGACAACTCCAAATATAGAGCGGGCGTCAGGGTCGGGATCGAACCTACGACCTCGCGTTTACCAGGCGAGGTAGTTGACACTTAACATCTCCCCAGCATCTCGCTAAAACTCTCATTAGCTGTTGCACGTTTGACATGCCGGGTTAACAGATTTTGGGTTAAGTGGGTACTTTATAAGTTTCGTATTCCAACCGATAGTGTGTTTGAACCCCCCGGATTAGAAGAGAACTTGGGCCGTTTTTCGTAAGATTTGAGTTCCCGTCAGCACGGCAATCTTTCCACCGTTGAGAAATGTCCTGCCACTAATGGCCGATTAGCTTCGCCTGACCGCTCGTGACTTGAGCCACCGTTGGCAACTTGTGCCAGGTTAAGGGGGTGCAGGCCACGAATGTGAGCAATGTTGAAATCTTCACACAGATGGATTTAAGATTGCATTGCTTTACAGTCATCTCCTGGCAACCTTTATAATTCATGTAATACCAAACCTGTACACAGTGGTTGTAGAGAGTTTATAACCGTATTGTGATTTATTCAAACTTTAAAGTTACCTGTATCCCACCGCAATTACTGAAATGAATCAAGTGTGGGTGGCTCCCACTGCTGATGGGACTGGCATATACGAGTTCAGCATCAAGTTTTAAGAGCTAAGATCAAATGTAGCCTGAAAGCTTTTACTCGGTGACCTCGGCCAATTAAAAACTTGATCATTGAATAATGAAATAAAACTTGGTACATTTCATCCCCAAAGCATTAGTTACCCTAAAAAAAACTAAATTTTAAAAAATGACAAGTACAACTGAAGAAAGTAAAACATAATTTCAACGGGGCAAGCAGAAGTCTTTAAAACACCAAGTAATAAAAGTTACAGCTATGAGATGTGGCCAAGTGGGTCAAAAGTCAGAGTGCTGAGCTGGCACTTTTGATATCTTGGCCGCAAACCTGGGCAGCTGCCTGATTAACCTAGGTTCACAAGTTTAGTGAGTTAATGGTCTCATGGCAAGATCCTGAAAGGACAACTGGAATAACGATTGGGTGGAAAAACATATCTGTGTTTTGTTTTTTAAAGTTTATTTTAAAAGAGGTCTGCATTTTTTTCCACCGAAATTATTTTGGCATAAGAGACAAAGACATCCATTCGGAACTGTTGCAACAACAATCGCACTACTTTGTATCCGACAACAACCCTAGATGGTGACTTCACAAACTATGCTTTTCAAGTCATTTCTGTGCCATCTCCTTATCTCTAAGATAGATGCACAATGATCATTTTTTGTTGTGTTTTTTTTTTGTTCCAGGATTTCCAATAGCAGGGTAGGCAAATCGGCGAGCCATGGCGTGCGGTTGGCAGAAGGTGGCATTTGTGGCGCTGTGCGCGTGTCTGGCGCTGGCCAAGCCCACGGCGGAGAAGAAGAACCGCGTGCACCCTGACGAGCCGCTCAGCGATAAGAAGCACGACGACGAGCAGAGCTTCGACTACGACCACGAGGCCTTCCTGGGCGCCGAGACGGCCAAAACCTTCGATCAGCTCTCACCCGAGGAGAGCAAGGAGCGCCTCGGGTGAGTCAGTCGAGACTCGCGAGGGAGCCAGAGAGAGAGAAGAGACGCTACTTGAGCTAAAAGTAGCAGCTGCTTACTTCGGCATTGAGAAACCGCGTGCCTCTCTTGAGGTGACACCGGGAGGTAATGCGTGACCTGGAACGATTTATTAGCCATCCCTGCATGATATTTTATTGATGGTCACAATTAGAGAGGGTTGCAATTAGATTCGGGGATATTATTCATGTTTCGGACTATGCTTAGCATACATTAGCTCTGTATGTATGTTGGCCATAGCTCTCGTAAAGATGGCCCATAAATTTAGGAAATTCTGGGATAAGGTTATGTTGATATTCGGCACTTAGCCTAGAAAACTTCCCGCAACATGGTGATAAAAAAACAGCACTAAAAAGGTTAGCCTTCGCATTAAACGTGATGATACCATTACGTGTAATGTCATCGTAGTTTTTTTTACACAATGTGGTGAAACAACCCCTACGACCAACATGGCACAGGAGGTCTTCAATCCTCAATTGATTGACATTGGTAAATATAGCGATTCTGGTAGCTACATAAACTACTTTCACCCCCTAAATACAGATCCAATATTTTATTCTTACGTGCACAATTGGAGGCACTTATCGTGAGTGTGAGAATCGATTTTAATTGATTAATCGATGCTCGGTTACGTGCCTGTTACCTAACGTTAAAAAGACACGAACCTGAAGTATCCTATCAATTAATTTTCAGGGACCCGTTTCTGGCGGGACGTGATGTTTACACTCACTTAATGTGACAGCTTCATCTGGAAGCGTGTTCATCTCGTAAGAACGCGACGCCGATGGCACGGGTGCGAATATAATTGGGAGAATTAGTTTTTTGGAAAAGAGAAACGATATTCCATGAGGACCGAAGATTTGCCCTGTGGGGAAAATGCTAGGTATCGCGGCGCTACTTTTTTTGGTTCACTCTAAACATGTGAACTTGACAGAGAACAGCTGTCGTCGACGAAGTTTGTTCGTTTAAACTGGTCCTACCTGCAACAAGCCACTTTTTTGACTAAGCTGAAAAGAAACCCTCAACGTAGCTAAACCGTTATTGTAAGACCCGGTTGAAGCAAAGTATTTCTTAAAACATTTCAACTTGCAGTGCACTTGAACAAGTAGTAGATAGTTTATTTTTGCCAGTGTGTGATGGTCAAACGAGTCGTACTGTGCGGACTTTGCCCCTGCCCTCTGCTCCTTCACTCTCGGCTCGCCCTACTTCTCCTCTACGCACTCCCAATACTCGCCGCCTCTCATCTCGCTGTGCTCCAGCAACCAAGCCTTTCAACCGAAGCTCGCGGTCAACTGTTGATCAGGGGGGAGATTGCATATTCTCCATCGTTCGTGCTGTTCACTTCCCATGTTCAAGAACCTGGGCTCAAGACCTCCGTTCCTCCACCTACGACTTGAGATGTAGCCGTGTTTAAACATTATATAAATTTGCGTATTGTATAAACTGACGTGTGTGCAAAAAAGCCCCCGAGTGCAGTCAGCTTCACTCTTTGGAGCTGTCATCTCAGGACCTCCTTCAATGTTCAGCGCCGGGCATTTCGCTCGTCATGGCTCACATGAGCAGAGTTCTTTTTGCCCGTTGTGTGGCAGCTGACGCGACCATATTTTCCTCTTGCTATGAATAATGCGCCTATGACCAAATCACCAGAAATGTGCCCCAATAGCTTCGGGTCTCAAGCTAAGTAGGATAGAGTCTGGATAGTGCTTAAACGGGTGACCAACATGCATATTCATGTTTTCATAAGGCAGTGGAGCAGCAGAAGGGCACTGCAGCAAACCTGTACTGTTCTATGCTCCTGGGTCCATGTTCCCTGCATTCGACAATCTGCACTGTCCAGCGTGGTGAAGTATGGTCAAATAACCTCCACGACCCACATTGGCGTGAGGAGGCCCTCATTCTGTACGTATACGTGGCAGGGGTGAACACCTTCTTAGGTTCCGCCCGTGTTTCTGTAGTGAGGGCACGATAACTCTCAAAGTTGATCCATTATGAAGGAAATTGCGTTGCAAAGTTGTTGCCATTTGGGATTTACCCCAGAGAAAATTGGCCAATTGACCAAAGGGTTGCCCAAAACTTGACGACGATAAACAAGGCAGACAAAGATAGTACGTCATTTACACGAGACGTCATCGCGCGACCGCACGCTGCGTGTGACATCATCTCGTTGTGCTGATTTGAGAACCAATCACTGTTATGGCTGGGGGAAACAACCCTGGAGAGCAAACACGTTTGAAAGCATTCTATAAGATCCCATGCGTATGCACGGTTTTTGTACATTTTTAACACCCGGGTTGTTCCTTTTGCCCCGCCCTCCCGTAGGAAAATAGTGGAGAAGATCGACAGCGACGGCGATGGGCTGGTGACGCAGGACGAGATGACCATGTGGATCAAGCACACGCAGCGGCGCTGGGTGTATGAGGATGTCGACCGCCAGTGGACGGGCCACGACATCGACGGCGATGGCTCCGTGTCGTGGGAGGAGTACCGCAACGCCACTTACGGTTTCCTCGCCGGTGCGGCGCTCGCACCGCTCACTCGAGCGCTCACTCGTGGTTGCATTCGTTCACTCGCTCGCTCATGCACGAATTCAGTCGCTGGGTCGCTCACGCACCCATTCAGCAGTCGCTCGCTCACTCAGTCGCTCACTCACACGCACGCATTCTGTTGCTCACGCACACACGCATTCAGCAATTGCTACCTCGGTCGCTCGCTCAGTTGCTCACGCATGCACTGGCTCAATCTAAACTAAACCTAAAACTAATTTTATTTGACCAGGTAAGACCCACTATATAGTTGTTTTTCAGAAGCGACCTTGCCACAAATGATAGCTCAACGAAGTGGCTTATGTGGAAATTTATTACAGCCAAATACTCTAAACGCACGCTGATTCTAAACGTGGAGGGAAAAATCGGAGGACCCAGGGAAAAATCCACACGACCATGGGGAGAACGTGAAAACTCCGAATTTACATGTGTCAGGGTCTGGATTGAACCCACGACCTCATGTATACCAGGCGAGGGAGTTAACACTGACATGCTCCATCGCTCACTAACTTGCAACCAGCGCTTGGCATCGTTTGCTTCGAAGCCAAAAGGTCTCGTTGCATGGGGGTCAGCTGCTCGGATCTGCTTTGTTCGTGTATTTCTGTTCCGTGCCTATTCCCAAGCCACATCCACCGACCTTGTATTTCGTTTCACCACATTCTTTCAGCTCACCCCCTCAGCCTCCGATAAATCACGAACGTAAGACTCAATTTTGATCGGTAAATCGATACAATGAATGTTTCTTTCCAAGAAACCGTAGCACGCCAACTAATTTAGAATCCACGTGCGCTGGAATGTCCAACAACAGAAGAATTGATGGGAAACCGTTACTCTTGAGTGGCGACAATTCATCCAGTAGGTGGTGGGGAGAGGGGTCGGAAACATCGCTTGCCTCGTTCTTGCGTGTCGTGCGCTATGTTTGGCTCGTGTTTAAAAATACCTCTCGGGCCTCCACGATGACCTAAATTGCATTTTGTTGAATTGCTGAGCACCCTTGCCGCTGACTGTTATCTCCACGATGAAGGTTTTTTGGGTGAGGTCGTGCAAATATATATGTCGTTAAACCCGCCACCACCCAACACAGGTTTGTCACGGAAAACAAAATGCGCCAATTAGTTACGACTCCAGCACACGGGTGTGTTGGAGAGTAAACCCACAACATTTACGACTTGAGTCTGCCCGGTTTCGGTCGTGAAAGCATACGTGTTGAACACACAAGTCCCAGCTTGCTGGCTTGCTTGCCGCTCGCAGTGCCGCCCGCTTACGGGGCCCCGGACAGTGCCGGTTATAGCGCCAATCGCGCTTGCACGTCAAGCTGTCGGTCCGGTCTCAGAAGGAATGCATTAATGGCAGAAAGCAGACGACACGTGTTCCTGCCGCTACCGCCACTGCCGTCACCACCACGATTGCCGCATTCTTCAGCCTCTCCTGAAACAAATTCCAAAGCAGTTCTCTTGTTTTCTTGAGATGTTTTGTTTTAATTGCCGTTAGTCCTATGGTTTGTACTTGCTCAGCTAACAAATAAATCAACACATTTGTCAAGACCACGGCCTTAAAAGGAAAAATAGTTATTTTTGTTGCGTGTGCTTTGTGCACCCACTGCCAAACGCAGTTTGTTTGTTTGGTTTGTACCTAGGTGGTCACGTGTGTGCTCCGCTGTCCTTGCTAGGCACAAAGCGATTCATGAACTTGCTCGTTAGTATGCGTGTTAGGCTGAAATTGCGAATCTCTGAGCAGCATTAATTAAAAATCGTTTTGCGGCGTCGGTTATTCCAAGCTATCTAATTTAAGTATCTCCCGCTTTTGTGTAAAAGATAATTGTCCTCCAGCGGCTGCACTGTGATTAGTACGTGGCCAAAATTCCTCGCTGCATTTGGCGAAACAGTTAAGTGCTTTGACACACGTTGGGTCGTTACATTCGGACGGTCTGTCCTTGTGGCATTGGGGCAGGGGCGGCATGCATGCGTGCGCTATTGTGCAATGGTAAACCGAAACCTTAGCCGTCACTAGGCATGTCATTGATTTACCCACCACCACAATATCGTGAATTGTCAAGATTGCGGGCAGTGATTGGATTAAAGAATGGATTCTGTTGTTGCCGTCTGTGGTGCGTGTAGAATCTTCGGCGGCTGCTGGGTTTTTTACGTGAAATAAACCTCCACGTAATATTAATTGAAAATTAATGCCGCCTTACATGCATATTGAGATGCATGCATCGTCGTCAGCGGAGGAAGAATTTATTTGAATCCATCCATTGTTACCTGCCTTGTCACCGCTGCACTACCTGCTCGCTTGTGGAATAGATTGTCGTTAATTCCCAACCGTGGAATTTTTTTCGTGCAGTTATTGGCGATTGGGGCCAAGATCATCTACACTCGCTGAAAGTTGAGGAAATGTTTTTTATGAAAGGCGTTTGGAATTGGGTTTCGAACCCCGAATCGTTGCCTCGCCCCTCTCTAAGCCTTTAAGTTAGTCCCTCCTGACACGTCGGCGTACTCTCGCTTATCGCGTTTGTTCGTTTCCTCTGTCTTAACCGGACTCCCGATAGAGGTGTCTTCTACAGAGATTTTTTTGTTATTGGTTTGGCTTGAGGATCTCATTCTTTATTCAACATTTCAGGGCCCCCCCTCCCTCCCCCATCGACTCATCACTTGCCCATCTGGATGAATTAAGAAGGATGTTTACTTCACACGCCCACACAAGGCCCTGCGGAGGCTGTTGTTAATTAAAGGGACATCGCGTATGGGAGCGGGGCAGTCGCTGCGTTGCACAAGCGATTTTTTTTTTCATTGAGAAGATTTCGTGTCAACAAAACAAAACCATTCCGTGTTATTTGTCCGGAAGCCTACATCTGGTTTAGTCGAGTTGTCTGCAATGAGTCTGTTCCATAGTTTTCTAAAGATGATTTATTTCAGGATGTTGAGGGAGACTGAGCAATTGCCATCGTGCTTTTGTCAGAGAGGTGGTCGGGGGGGGGGTTCTGTGCTGGAAGATATCCTACCTTGAGTCATGTGTGTTGGTCCCGTGCCTTTATAAATGTAAATGTAGTCACTGGAGAGGTGGGGGTGGTAGTTGGATGCAGAAGGCTTGGCGTTTCCACCCATCGCGCGGGATGTTTTAGCTTCTGGCGCACAGCGTTAGCGTTGCGCTGAGGAATGTGGAGAGCTGTGGGGTTTTATTTATTTTTTGAGCTGCAATTATATTCCACTGTCGTGCGTTTTAGAGAAAGAAAATGTTGGTCCGGAACTCTCTCGGCTCTATAACGTAACCAAAGATTGGTAACTAAAAAAAAATCGCGTTATTATTGATTCTGCGATTTAATTATGGCAAAATTCCAGCTCTGAGAATTTAAAATATCGGTTTGAATCCCCTATGCGACAGTGCACCTGCTGACGCAGATTTCCGGCTTGAACACCTGAATGTGAAATTGTAGCTGTTGCTTGCGTCTACATCAACAGCCATAGTTTTGCGTCCACGTCAGAACCTCTTCTTCCCAGTGTTTTCAGAACAATGCCTTCATGTTCACCTTTTCCGTGGACTTCCTTCTGACTTTGTTGCCAGCAACTGTGATTGTCATTGCTTTTACTCAAGTCTGGTTAGATAGAATTCTTTTGACGTGCCCACGCGTACCACGGCAGTTTCCATTCTTCCCCCCCTCCCCTCTTTATATTATGATCCAAATCTTTTCCGCTTGTGGCACTTAAATACCTTGGCAACTCAAAGCACCTCGCCGTCACATCTCTTCTCAAACGTTTGAAGGGCCACCCCCCTGGGGAAGCTGTCCCTGTGCAGAACAAGGTGACTCGAGACTGGCCTGTAAGTTAGGGGCAGGTGATCGCTTTTATGTGGAAGCCGCTGATTTTATTGGGAAGCCACTGGAGCTATGCACTTTTAAATCCAGATTGAAAACTGGCTTCTTTAGAATTGCATTTTGTGTTTAGTTTTTTGTCCTCCCCCCCCCCCCCCCCTGCACTTCCCATGAGCGCGGTTTGGCTACGTATAGTGTGAAAGAAGTTCAACATACATACAAAGAACCCCCGTTTAGCCTTAACAGCCTGTTGGGGCAAGTGCTGTTAGCGAGCAGGACCTATACAGGCCGGCACGGGGGGGTGGGAGGGGGTGAGTGCCCAGCGCCATGCCCGTCCACCTTTGTCTCCCCCAGTGGCGATGTTTACACACCTCGCCGCCAGGTACTCGTCTGAGGCCGGGTCGTACTCACATTGCTGCACGTAATCCTGAATTGAGTGCTTTTAGTCGGCACCGGTGATCCTCTCCGCCGTTGCCGTCGCGTGCGTGAACACCAGAGGAGGCGCAGGGCGGCGAGGAGGACGGCTTCAACTACAAGCAGATGCTGGGGCGCGACGAGCGCAGGTTCAAGGCGGCCGACGTGGACGGTGACGGGCAAGCCTCCAAGGAGGAGTTCACCGCCTTCCTGCATCCCGAGGAGTTTGAGCACATGAAGGACATCATCGTCACTGTACGTCTGGGCTCGTGCCCACACGTGTGTGCGTGCGTGTACGTGTGTGCGGTTAGCGCGCTGCACCTACGAATCCAGCGGCCCGAGTTCGATTCCCGCTCGGCAATGTAGCACAGTGGGTGGCCTCGCAGGTGGTGTCCGCTAATCGTCTCGGTCATTTAACCCATGACACCTGGGTCGGTCCCGTGCCTCCACACTTCACGTGGTCTCAAAGTGAATCCGTCCTGGCACGAATAACGTACTGACAAAAACACTGCCTTTTATGGGCAAATGACAGTCGTGTTGATAACGGTGTACATGTGTTTGCCTGCCAAAAACGTTAAAGGCATCCATTCTTCATCTGATTTAGAACGTTGCCAACTACGATGCGGAGCAGTTTATTAAACATAATACGGGTTGTTTTTTGAGTTAGATCGCGTAAATATATGTCGTTAAACCCGCCACCACCCGACACAGCCAATTAGTAAGGTTTGTCACGTGAACAGAACATGCCAGTTCGTTACTAGTACAGCATGCCGATGTGTTGGAGAGCCAAAACCTGTATTATGGATGATATTGGTCACGCAAGCCTATGTGTTAAACTCGGTTTATTAAGCCCTGCTGACTAGCAGCAGCAACTATCAGGTGGGGAGGAGGAGTGAAATTAAGCCGTGCTATGTTTGGCAAATTGCCTCGTGGCAACCTTTTGCAGGAAATGCCTGCGGTGGAAATTCCTGACGGGCTGCGGGCTCTGGTTCGTGTGTTTTGTTGTTGATCGTCTTTTGTTCTCAAGCAGGCACATTTCCATCTCTTTCAGGAAACCATGGAAGACATTGACAAGAACGGAGATGGCTTCATTGATCTGAACGAGTACATCGGTAAGCCCCCTGGGACTTGCTCGGAAAAGCACCGGCCTTTGAAAGGCACCTTGGGGGGAGGGCTCAGAATCCTGTTGTAAACATGACTTTGTGTGCAGGTGGCTCATAAAGACATTGATCGGTTTAACACGTAGGCTACCACAAAGTTTTGTTTTTGTTTCGGATTATATCGCGTAATCGCCAGCGGAGCAGCACACTACTCGAATTGTAAATGTTGTGGGTTCAATCTCCAACACACCCGTGCGCCGAACTAGTAACTTAATCGTCACGTTTTGTTTACTTGACACTCCTTATTAATTTGCCGTGTCGGGTGGTGACGGGTTTAGCAACGCATGTTTATGCCATCTAACCCAAAAAAAACTAAAACTATGTTATAGAAATACATCGCTGCGCATCAAGTGTGCGTGGGGGGGAACAAAAATAACCCCACACACGCTTTGGGAAATTGCACTGAATGCTTCACACAGCTATGGATTCAATACGAAGCTGTGAGCCATCTCTTGGCCACCTCACAGCCAAAGGTGTTCTGAGGGAGTGTCATTCTGAGGTTAACCATGCTCAACTCTCTTCTGAACTCTGATGAAATCAAGTTCATTGAAGATGTGACGCATGGATATTTGTATGTATGTTGAACTTATTTCGAACTGTATGTAGGCCAGCCGTGCTAATTAGATGTGCGGGGGAAGGACAACAAACTAAACACAAAAATGGCAATGAAGATGCTGCCAGCAATAGCCACATTAACCTAAAGCAGCACTGATTGGGATCTGTTTTCAACTTTTATTTGTCTTTCAATCTCTTCCCATGACACTTAAACACATTTACTGTCGACTCCTCGGCCCTGTCCAGGTGCAGACTTAAGACATGACTGACTACCCCTCTCTTTGAATGTCCACTGATTCTCTACAGCATCTTGAGGTTCGATTGAATTCAGATGTTATATAAATCCTGTGTCTGTGGTGCTGGCCACCCATCCCCTCGTGGGCCGTGCCGCCCTCCATAGGTGCTCGCTGAACAGCACTCGCCACAACAGTCTGTTAACGGTTGTAGAGGGGATCTTTGTCTTGTTACATATATATACGTATACAAGATTGTCAAGTACTATTTGTAAGCTTTACCCTAACCCTCACACAAAATCACTTGACCCAATGTTGCATCCACCATGTTCGCGTTGACCACCTCCACCTTACCACCTCTGCGCACCTCTGCCCCCTCCCACAGGGGACATGTACAACCAGGCCGGGGAGAGCGAGGAACCCGAGTGGGTGAAGACGGAGCGACAGCAGTTCACGGACTTCCGCGACACCAACAAGGACGGCAAGATGGACAAGGAGGAGACGATGGCCTGGATCCTGCCCTCGGACTACGACCACGCGGAGGCAGAGGCCCGCCACCTCGTCTACGAGTCGGACAGCGACAAGGTGACACCTCCATGTCACCTTGACAACCCGCCGGCTTCGCGAAAACCCGATCGGTGCAAACGAGCGGTCGTTGAAGCGTTCTCTTGTCCTCTCGTACCAATCTGTGGTGTGGTGCGTGGGAGCGGTGGTGGGATTTGTGCGTGTGCCGTGGGAGATGTGTTTTACTATGTTGTGGCATGTTAGGTGCTACAAGTGTAGTGTATGAACCGAGTGTGTATTCCATGTTGGGGGCGAGTGTGTCTGTGGTGTTATTATGGGCGGCGGCACAGGTGTTATAAACCCGGCGACCCCGAGGTTCCATTCCCGCTCGCAGCCCACCATTGGTTAGGAATATCTGAAGCAGTCATGGGCCTCCCCTAGGCCGTCTCAGCCTTAAACGAGTACCTGGTGCAATGTGTAAACATCGGCACTCAGGAGACGAAGGCTGCCGGGCACGGTGCTGGTCAGCCGCCTGTTCGTATGCCGTGCTGGCCTTTGTAGGTGCTCGTTAACAGCACTTGTCCTGTATTGTATGTATGTATGTTAAACTTCTTTTGCGCTTTACGCAGCCAACCGTGCTAATCGGGGTGGAATCTTTGTCTTTGTTGCTGCGCTATGCTCAGGACGGCAAGCTGAGCAAGGAGGAGATCCTGGACAAGCACGACCTCTTCGTGGGAAGCCAAGCGACCAACTTTGGCGAGGCCCTGACGCGGCACGATGAGTTCTAGTCCCCCCCCCCCCTCTCCCTCTCCCTGTCAGCCCCCCACCGCCACCGCCACCGAGGCTTTCTTCTTCTGCCCTGACGGCCGCGACACCCGAGGCCTTCCAGGGGGGGAAGGGGCCGGGAAACACCGCCGAGGGCCGACAAGCGACAGGAATAAAGTCGAGCGCGCGACAGAGAACGCTTCTCCGTCCTCCCTCTGCATTGCGGGCAACGCGTCTCCCCTAGGGAGAAGTGCGAGGGGAGGGGTGGGTGGGTGGGTGGGGGGGAACGATCGCCCCTTATCTGTGTGCGTCGTTCGGTCGCGCACGTAATCCGCGTTTGTTAAAACGCGATGCGCGTAGCTAACACGGAGGCACCCACTGACCCCCCCCTTGGCCCTTCTCTATTTTCACATGAGCTGGTTGTACCTTTGTGTGGGTGGGGTGGGGGGCGAGGGAGGCGTGGTTGGTGGTTGCCAATTAGGGATGACCACTGGATCTCGACAAATTTGCCTCTAAAAGTGTTTGCTGCCGACAAAAAAAAAACGTGATGCTATTATTTCCCGAGTTTAAACTTCAAATTAAGTTCAAAGTAAGCCACTTGTGACAAATGATAATGTACGCAATTGTTAGAGTAGCTCGTATTTTAACTACGTCAGTGCTTCCACGCGTTTAACCGACCTCGCCTCGGTTTTACTCGCCCACGGTTGTACCCACCACGGTTTTACTCGCCCTTCCGTGCGCAGGATGATGGCGGCCGACTGCTAAGAACAAACAAAAAATGCGCGGCAGAGGAAGGAAATTTGTCCGACCAAGAGGCTTGCATAGCGTACCACAAAGCACGGCATTTTGTGTTCGAGTGGGCGGGGTTGGGGGGAGGGTTAGGGGGGGGTTGGGAAGTGTTTTGAAGTGAATGCAAGACACTGTTAGATCATTACTGCCCAATTACTGCAGCTCATGTAGAGTTTTATATTTTTTTCTTCCCCCCCCCTCACCTCTTTCCTCCGACGTGCCCGATAAATGCACAGCGCTGTGCAGGCTGCTGTGCCTATCCCACTGCGAATCACGCCGTGCCGCTTTCTTTTAGCCTGCGCACGCTCCAGTGAGCACATTCGCCGCAACCGCATTCCCTTTCAACTCTGCGGTAGCGGCGTCGGCGGCGATGCCGGTGGCGGCGTTGTTCTTACGCTCGTTTCCTGGCGTTGACGCTCGATGCATCCCGTCTGCCCAGTGCGGCGAATTCCCCGAGTTGCGGAACGCGTTGTTCTCGCTCGCGGTGTTTGACTGGTCCGCTTTCCACCACCACCTCCCCTGCCACCCCCTACCCTCTGCTTTCCTTTCGTTGTCGGTCCGTTTGAATGAGCCTCCCCCCACCACGCCAAGCAAGAGACGGCCGTCAATTCATTGTGGGCACGCCGTAACGACGATTCCTATCGGTAAAACTCGTGTACGGCTGCCCTGTCGACCGCCACCGACCGACACGAGCATTCAAGAGTTCCACTACCTTCAGCTGTTGTCGGATCCACGGGCTGCATAGTTGTGGGGGTGTTGGCTACAGATCTTCCGTGCTTGTTGCTGTACGCGGTTGTGTGTAGTTATGCATCTTGTTCCGTCCTCAAAGGAAATTCCTCTCCAGTTGCTGGGATGTTTCCCCATCTGCTGAGTGGCACGTTGTTGGAGTGTGGCTGGTCGCCTGGCTGGGGGTACATCTTATGTCGTCTCCGTTGTCGTCATCGGCGGCGGCGGCGGCGGCAGTGTGGGTGTTGACAGAAGTCTGTGGGCCAAGAGCAGGCCTCGCTTTCAGCTGAGGTGGCAAGACACTTCGTGGTACCAATATACAAACGTCCGTTGCCAGTCAAATAATGTGGTGACCCCCCATTTGGAATTTATAATGTTTGGCCGTTAGGTGTGTGCCAAAATCTCCATTCGTGGATCACCAATAAATGATAACGTTAAGGATGCACGCATTGAATATAATTGATTGATTCCAATTCGTACAAATTGCACGTGACGTGTTACATTTCGACTAATGGAGTGAACACGACGACTACAATACAGCGGGGACGGTGACATTACAACGCAAAAAAAGTTGTTTCTTTGAATCAAATCGCAACCCCGCTCATGAAATGCCTAGGGGGGCTTTGAGCAGTGATGTGCCATGCAAATTGGCCATATATATAAACCCGATTGATACCGTAAATGCGTTTGGCAAACGAGTTGGGTCTGCGCCCACTGATTAGATGGATCGGACGTGTGTGTGTGTGTACCCATGCTGCCCGGTGTCAGCGGGCCGAGCGAAATCGTGAACGGTGAATCGTGCCGCTCCCATTGGCAGTATTTAGAACGACCCTTGGACGCAGTGAAAATGCCTCGCTACTGATATTAGTTGTTGCCAGCATTTTGTTTTTACCCGAGGGAAGCACGCAAGCACAGCAGATGAGTGTGTACATATTTTATTTTTTATCGGTAGGAAGGCCGCAAACGGAGTCCCCTATTGCCTTCTCTGGTCACAATCGGCGCTTTGTCGCTCCCTAATTGAAGCTGCCTGCATTTAATCGTTTTATATTATATATGTAAACAGTTCTTCGTATATATTTAAAGGTGAATTATTTTTTCCCCGCGTTGCGTTACTGTCGCGGTTCACACAAGAAAGAAACACTTTTAATGTGGTTACAAAACGTTCAAAATGCAAAAAAACCTCTACGTTGTCAAACGATGAAGCATTGATGAAATAACAGTGTTCACAGTTCAATACTGAATAATATACTGCAGAGTTGGCGCGTGGGCCATATGGAATGGGGGAAGCTTGCAGTCTCAAATATCAAGCGGACATTATTTCCGATTTTTTTAAATGAAAGAATCAAAATGTCTCGATCCGGCGATTAATTTCGTCGCGAAGATGACGATTAGCCGGCTTGTCGCGCGCGCGATGTGAGATTCATATTTTGCAATAAATTAACGATGCGACGGTGTGCGGTGCGTGGGTGAGACTCGTCTGTTCACGGTTGTTGCCGCACCGCTCTCCCACGTGTATTTCTGATCGTTCATTACAGCGCGTTGGTCGGAACGGCTCTCCGACGTTTTTCAACCGCTGAACTACCTCAATTTAGTTTTTGTTGCCAGTTTCGAGAATGTACCTGCAAGCCTATTCTATTGGGATGACACACAGCGGCGACAATCGCAACGCCACTCCCCCTACCGTCAGACAAATGCCCGTTTGTAGGCCAGGCCCTGAGACACCTCGTACACCACAAGGCAGCTGCCACTGGGGGTGCCTATTCAACATTGCCACGGTGGCGAGATGCAAAATACCTCGCCTGGTATACAGAAGGTCGTCATTTTGATCTCGATCCTTACGCTGCCCGCTGTATATTTGGAGTTTGCGTGTCTCTCTCCCCGTGGTCAGGTGGGTTTTTCTCCGGGCCCTCCCATTTTTTCTCCCCCTCCACGTTTAGAATGAACGTGACGCGTTTTAGAGTATTGGGCTGCTGCCACGTGATAAGCCACGAAGTTGATCTATCATTTGTGATAGCCAGGTCGCTTATGACAATGAGCTCTACAGCTCGGTTGTGGACCTAACCTAGTAAAATAAATAGTTCTATAAGTGTTTTGAAAGGTATTCTTGACTACCCCGCGTATAGGAGGAGGCCGCTATCGCAGAAACAGCTCGTTATTCGCACGTGGTACGCAACTAAGCATCGCGGGCGAGAGCTCCTGTCTGTTCACTGGGTCCCTCCACACACTCGCACGGGTTCATGCGTGGTTAGTACCCCGAGACGCACTCCGCAAAAAAACACACCGATGCTGTGTCTTGCGCTGTCCGATGCTCGTTGGAAACGTCTTTCAATGAGACTTTACCGAAAGAACCAAAGAGTATGGATCCCTGCAGTCACGAAAATTTCAAATCTCGGTTGAGACAAAAGACTTTTAACGGCTCTTCGTGTTGCGTCCGTAAATTGTAATCCTTTGATGCAGCAGCTGTCGCTCCAGTGCAATGATCGCGTGCCTGGCCATGATTTAGAAATTACATTTTTTGACGATGTTAGAGATCGCTGCCAGAAAGATGTGGCACTACTTGAGCATATTGACACAAGACGAGATTGGAAACGAATTGTGCAGTGGGGACACCTGGGGGCTATCTGCCCATGGACCGTGATGGTTTTTAATCGGTGAAACTACGAACCTGCCTCAGACGGCCGAAGACGCACTGGGTGAGTGGCTAGAAGACGATATCTGTTGGTTTATAGGGTGCTTTAAAAAATGTTAACCCTTTTGAGAAGTTGCAACAATACCACGAGAAATGTGGCCTCCGGGCTCTGGAGACCACCTGGAGAAGATTCCAGGCAATATGATGGTGCACAAGTGCAGACCCTTTAACTTTTTGAAGCTGTTAACATAATTTGGTGGTCATTTTACATCGTATTCGTTCTTATTCCATTAAAAACTATAGTCCCATTTAAGTGTTAACAATTGCTTTGAATCATCCTGTATTTTGCTTGAGGATTCCGTAGGATCCTCATTCGCGAGTAAAACAAAACGAATCCCATATACAATGCAATCCCAATACAATTAGGATTGAGTGGATAAATAAAAATAACATGTAATCTGTTATTGATCAGTTTTAACACGTAGGCGTTCGCGACCAATATCCATAATAGAGGATTTTTTAAAGTTAGATTGCGTAAATATTTTAGCGATCTCACCCAAAAAAACATTAATACGAAAGAACGCGATTATGATTTACATACGATCTAAATAGCATGGCATCTCAAGACACTAAGGATATAGTGAGCATATTTATTTTATATCCAGTATATATTTAGAGGGAGAGATAGTTCAGTCGGTCACGAGCAGAATAATAAAAGGCACAGTAGTAGTAGGGCAGGGAGTTGAACGCGTTTGCGACATGGTGCAATACTGTGAGATTCTATGGAAAAGGAAGGGAGGGAGATGGAAAAAAAGGGTGACAATAAATGTGGATCGATGCTGTGCCTCTTGTTGAACGTGGCCGGTGAAGACAGCGTCCCCCACCCCCCTCGTTCATCCCTCGATCGTCCTGCGCGCGCCACCGATCTCGCCTCGAGCTCGCAAGCTCGGCAGGCGTTGAACCCGGCGAGTGGCGCTCGGATAGGATTTGACCTTGGGATGTCACGGCTGTCGTTTCAGGAGAGGCGGGCTACGAGGTGGCCAGAAGTTGGCAGGTACAGACGTGGATCATAATCAACGTATTTTGGGTTTAGATCGCGTTCTTTATAAATGTGTCGTAACCCTCCACCACCCGACACGGACAATCAGCAAAAACGTGTCACGTTGACAAAAGACAAATAGTTCACTGCTTTAGCCCACCGGTGTGTTGAAGCGTGAAACCACAACATTTACAATTTTTGAGTACGACGTTTCGCTGGTAATTGCATCCAGCGTCATCGGGCAGTTCGCCAGAATGGTTATGGAGGGTTACGACACATTTATAAATAACGCGATCTAAATCCAAAAACGTTGATTATGAATAATATTGGTCGCGAAAGCCTGCTACGTGTTAAACAGACGTGGATCGTTAGACCCGTCTGTGGGGAAACGTTTCCGCTTTAACCTTGTCCGCGTGAGGGGTTCCTCTTACCTGGGTACTCTCGTATTCGCGGTGGCTAGATGTGAACTACCTCGCCTGGTAACACAGGAGGTCGTGGGTTAGATCCCGACCCTGACGCCTGTTGTTTATTTGGGAGTTTTGAGTGTCTCTCTCTCTCCGTGGTCAGGTGGATTTTTAACCGGGTCCGCCGGTTTTTCCCTCCACATTTAGAATCAACATCACGCATTTAGAGTCTGTGGCTGCTGCTGCTATAAATGTCCACACGATAATAAGGCCACTTAGTTGAGATATCATTTGTGGCCAGGTCGCTTCTAAAAGAGCTATATAACTCAGTGGGTCTTAGCCGGTAAAATAACTTTTTTTCCATATATAGTTGGTTACCTCCCATGAAGCAGTAATTGGATGCTTCAGATGCGCTTCTGCGGCCGTCTGGAACGCTCTGCCTTCCTTTCCATATTAGGAAGACACGAGCTATGATAAATCATCCAAATAGAAAACTCATTTTGTGATTAGTTTGTTCTCCCCCCCCCCCGCACATCCGATGAGCACAGTTGGATACGTACGGCGCGAAAGAAGTTCATACATTATCCACACAACCCAAAGTATCTGGACACTAATAATGTAGCGTTATTACTAATACGGTAACAAAACCGAGGGTATACGTGTCACACTCGGATGCATCCAACCCCATCCATCACCTCCTCCCCCACAACCCCACAACAACACCCATCACCCACACCGCCGCTACCCACCACCCGCACCACCACCCACGCCACCCACACCATCCACCCCACCACCCACACCGCCGCCACCCACCACCCACACCGCCGCTCCCCACCACCCACACCGCCCCTACCCACCACGACTCTGGCATCCGCCATCAACCACCACCACCCACCCAGCCACCCCCCCCCCCCATGACAACCGCCTTCAATTACAGCAAATTAATGCGCAGTCTGTTTGGGACTCGTGACGTGAACACGGCTTCAATTAACCGGGTCAGCGCGTTCCATTAGCCGGGTAATTGTGACGTTACCTGTGGCCCCAGAGACGGCGCGTGGGTGGGTGGGTGAGCGCTGGCTGGGTGGGTGGGTGAGCGGTGGCTGGGTGGGTGGGTGGGTGAGCGGTGGCTGGGTGGGTGGGTGGGTGGGTGGGTGAGCGGTGGCTGGGTGGGTGGGTGGGTGAGCGGTGGCTGGGTGGGTGGGTGGGTGAGCGGTGGCTGGGTGGGTGGGTGGGTGAGCGGTGGCTGGGTGGGTGGGTGGGTGAGCGGTGGCTGGGTGGGTGGGTGGGTGAGCGGTGGCTGGGTGGGTGGGTGGGTGAGCGGTGGCTGGGTGGGTGAGCGGTGGGTGGGTGTGAGTGAGCGGTGGGTGGGTGTGAGTGAGCGGTGGGTGGGTGGGTGGGTGAGCGGTGGCTGGGTGGGTGAGTGAGCGGTGGGTGGGTGGGTGAGCGCTGGCTGGGTGGGTGGGTGAGCGCTGGCTGGGTGGGTGGGTGAGTGGTGGGTGAGCTGGTGGCTGGGTGGATGGGTGAGCTGGTGGCTGGGTGGGTGGGTGAGCGGTGGGTGGGTGGGTGAGCGCTGGCTGGGTGGGTGGGTGAGCGGTGGGTGAGCGGTGGCTGGGTGGGTGGGTGAGCTGGTGGCTGGGTGGGTGGGTGAGCTGGTGGCTGAGTGGGTGAGCTGGTGGCTGGGTGGGTGGGTGAGCTGGTGGCTGGGTGGGTGGGTGAGCGGTGGGTGAGCGGTGGCTGGGTGGGTGGGTGAGCTGGTGGCTGGGGGTTTGGTTCGTTCCCTCTCGGACGCCTCGCCCCAGACACAGGTGTTGCTGCTGCACGCGTGCTGGGGGGGGGGGGGGGGGGGTCGCTGGGGGGACACGTGGTGGGCGCGTTCACGTACACAAAGTCTGTTCAAACAAACAAGAGATCCCCCGTATAGCCTGTGACAGCACGGTGGGCAAGTGCTGTTAGCGAGCATCTACGAAGGCCGGCACGGCACACGAGGGGGTGGGTGGCCAACACCACGCCCGGCCGCTTTTGTCTTCCCAGTGATGATGTTTACACACCGCACCAGGTACTCATTTGAGGCTGAGTCGACCTCGAGGAGGCCCATGACCGGTTTAGATGTTGGCCGTGAGCGGAAATTTAATGCGGTCGCCAGTTCGGAGCGCAGCGCGCTAACCACGACACTACCGCTCCCGGCCATACATACACACATACACGTGTATATGTGTGTGTGTACGAATAAACACGAGACGTATCACACACATAAAGACGCGTACTTTAAAACTATTAACTATTTTATGTAACTAGGTAAGGCCCACAGAGCTCGAATGTGTAGCTCTTTTTCAGAAGCGACCTGGCCACAAATGATTGCTCAACGAAGTGGGCCATCATGTG